ACACAGAACCGCACACAGAACTGCGCAGAACCACACAGAACCGCTCAGAACCACACAGAACCGTACACAGAACCACACACAGAACCACACAGAACCGCACACAGAACCGCACACAGAACCACACACAGAACCACACAGAACCGCACACAGGTTCAGCTTTCTCCTTCTTTTCTTCCTGCTTTCGGACTCTTTATTGATGGGGCCGTTTCAGGAGCTCACAAACAACCTCAAAGGTCCAAAGGTGACAAATGTACTGTAGAATATATATTATCAATCAATAGAGATCGGACTCAGTGTAAAGTGTGAATCAACCCCCAGGCCTTTCTAAAGAACCAATCAAAAGGATTAGAGACTAAAGAGACAGAAAGAGTAACAGGGGGAAATTTCATTACTTCAACACTTTCTCCTAAATTGCCACATTTTCCAGTGGAGTTTGTCCCGTCTCCCTCCCGTACAGACGGAAGGACGTTATCAGGAAAAAGCAGAGTGTCACAAATACAAACCGACTGTCAGATCGAGGTTCTCAGCCTGATTACGGAGAAGAAAATGTCTGACTGAATTATCTTTGTACTGTCAGCACTGACACTGGATCTGTAAGTAGGCGTTGTGAGCCAACCTGTCAAACTGTCCAATATGCCTTTAGTTAGATAAAGATAACTTTAGCATCTGTCCCAGAGCAAAAAATAGTTTGCAGAGAAGAGTGACAGTTCAGAGTTGAGAGTTTTGTCTGTTAATTTACTTTTAAAGAGTCACAGAACAGTCAGCTGTCACGTCCACACATTTCCAGAAGCTTCAGTTTGACAGCTGATGTTGTTTCATTTCAGTCCTGAAAACTAGTTTTGTCTTTCTAGACCAAGAAGTCCGTTAGAGGGAAAGAAACAGATAATAATGAGTTCAGGAACGTCTGGGATCCAAACAAAGATCCTGTCATCATTGCCAGTCCCTCCAGGATCTTTTTATGGATCGTTGTGGCCCATAAAGGCTAATTTCACTGCAGCTTTTCTAAAAGAATTTAATGTTTTATGAGCTAACGTCAGCGCCTTTCGATCTCTGAATCTGTCCATCAGAAACTCTTACTGACCTCAGTACTGTAACGATATTCCCTGTCCGTCTTGGAGGCTGTGTTCAACCCCGGTCCGGCTACTGAGCCCGGTTCTGTCGCCCTCTAACGGTAGATACAGTTAGCAGCAGCTATCTGTCCATCAAGAAATTCTCTCTCAGTAGTGCTAACGAGCTAATGGAGCTATAAAGTAGGTGTTTGTACAGTAATCAGTGAGGTCATAGATCTCTAACACATCGGCCCAGACAGACGTGATAAAAACTGTTAAACATCGATTATGACTTCATGGGGACTTTAAGTTTCTCTCTGTTTTATCCGGGACTCCACGTATCCCAGAATGCATTTCACATTAACCGCTGGCGTCCTGGTCTTCCAGTGGAAAACCGCCACACAGCGAAGTGCAGAGTGTGAGTCACAACCTGCCGCCTGCTGCAGCTCCTCCAGGCAGGAAGAGGCCAAATAATCAAATCTGATTGGCTGTCAACACCTGGCCATCAGACTCCGCCTTGAGGTAGAGAGACAGCCGGTCAGACTGAGAGAGAGAGAGAAATACACTTACAGGAAGTCTCATTGGTTCCTGCTGAGGATGTGATATACATACTGTATATATATATATAGTTATCGTTATATATAAAATATATAGCTTCATGTTTGACAATCAGCTGCTCACTGTAGTTTCTATCAAACAAACATTTGTTGGGGACTATTTTCAGCAGCGGATTAATCCCAGAGCAGCCAGAGGTTCCAAACCTTTTTCCTTCAGTGATACAAACTATATACATACACACATACTTCATGAATGTTTCAGATCAGATCAGTAAGTTAACCATACAGACATAATAAGCATCTTTTTGACAGATTCACAGTTTCTTCCTCTCTTTGGTGGTTTTAAGGAGCAGAACATCTCTTCTAAACAATAGGCTGTGACTTTCAACAGAACGGTTTATTTTCACCAAACATCTGCAGAAGGTTTCCAGCAAAAGAAGAAGGAACGATAAAAGTAAAAGCACTTAAAGTCTCAAATAAATAACGTATTTATAGTGCGCTCGCGTTGACCTGCAGCCTGTTGCAGTCACTTCTGCTCGTCTTCTTATTTTTCCAAACTTTTAGCATTCTTCTTATCTCCTTCATTACACTGCTGTTAAATATTGTAGTATACGTATTTTTACATTTTCTATATATATTGTTGTTTATAATTCTCTTCAGCTCGAGCAGAATGCAACCCATTTCCCTCCAGGGATCAACACTGATCCTGATTTTACTCTTCCAACTTTATTCAGTTGTTTGTATCCATCAGAGACTGAAACATCCAAGATCACCTCAATCATTAAACAGGAATACCACTGTAATTGTTGTCATATCTGTGTTTTATAAGTGTTAATAAACTGATTCTAAATACGAGAAGCAGCTCGGTACGATCGGGATTAACTGCACAACGAGGACAAATATAAAATATCTGTGCGTGCTCAGAGTTTAATCCCCGGGTAAATGAAATAACTCCACATACATTCAGCTGATGTGTGACAGTTTGTTGTTCGTCTCCTCGTGGAAAATCAGCCCGTTCTTCTTCTTCTGCAGCTTGTCTCACTCTGCAGTAGAATCTCATTAAAGTGAGCCTCGGGCTGAGCCGTTTGCAATCCGCTGTCAAACAGGAAACATGCGTGCGTGTGCGTTTTCTACACTCGTACAATTTAATTTGTGAGGATTGTTTTTTCTGCTGGATGAGCCGGAGGTGGATTTGTTTGCACTGCTGCGGCTCTCTGTAGGACTGTGACATTAGCTTTTACTGTTCGTGCCTCCTAGGTTAATCTGTGCAGGAGAGCAAGGCAGGACTACGAGTTCAATTCCCTGTCCAGCACAGAAAGTCACATTAATGAATGAATGAAAATTCCAGTTGAATTTGATTGATTCTAATTCTGTCTTTAGAAGCATTTGATTTGCATTATTTACCTGCATTTGTAGGTCTAGACGTGCTGTTCACTGGGAGCTTACTGGGGGATGTACCACACGTTCAACGCTGTTGCTTCCGCGATCAGTCCCTCCCTAACTGCCTGTTTTTAGAGGAAATACTAAATACGAGGAAGCTGCTTCCTGTTTAATGTGGTAGTCAGTAGTACCGAGGTAATTCGGTAGATAGTTTGGGACTCAACCCAACCCTACTCATAACAGGTAATGTTTGAATTATCAACCCCTGAGCTGACCTCTGACCCCGGCCTGTGTTGTGATGGTCTCACAGGTTTCTACATGTACATTGAGACGTCGAGGCCGAGGCTGGATGGAGACAAAGCCAGGCTGCTGTCTCCCACCTTCAACATGAATTCCAAGAGCTCTTCCTCTTCCTCGTCTGCCACCAACAACCCCACCTACTGCTTCGCCTTCTACTACCACATGTACGGGAAGCACATAGGTAAGACTGCAGCAGGCCCTCCGGTGCAGTATACAACTCCAACAACAGACACCTGACCCGGCTGCTTTCTGTTTGCAGGAGCTCTGAATGTGTTTCTGCGTCAGAAAGGTCAGACGGTGAGCGACACCTCAGTCTGGAGTCTGACCGGTAACCAAGGAGACCGCTGGCGGCAAGCCAAGGTCAACATCCATCCAACCACAGCCTTCCAGGTACGAGCCACACCCACTTTATTTTAGCATCTGAGAGCCTTTTGTGGGGTTTGTTTTTCATGTTTTTATATACTCTTTGAGGACTGAGCAGTATTCAGTACACATATACACAAAAAAAGAGAAGAGAAAAAAGAAAAATCTTCTCTATTAAGGAGTTTTAACCGATGATGACTTAATGTCATCATCTTAAAGTTATGATCCTTAAGATGTTCCCAATATCAAACGCATTTTGGATACTATTTGTATAAATCAATGAATAGCCATTCAGTGTTTTTATATTGATTAATTATCTCTCTGTGTACTTTAATGGGATCGCAGCATTTGATTCATCCGTTTGCGGTTCAGTTCAGTTCAACACTTACACCGGTCATAGGAAGCACTCTGTGTTTGTCATCACTCAGTATTTTTAATCAATCAATTAACGGAGAATATGATCAGCAGATGAATCCGTAATGGAAATAATCATACGAGTACTTTTACTGGAGTAAAGTATCTGATTACTGCTCAGTTTCCTGTTTCTCCCTGGCAGATGGTGATGGAGGGCGTCCGGGGTTCTGGTATCGAGGGAGATATCGCCATCGATGATGTCACCATTGAGGAGGGTGAATGTAAAGACCCTCCCCCCAAAAGTGAGTAAAGTGTAAAGACAGCGTCCCTCCTTTAATGAGGTTTGATCCTACACATTTCTCTCCTCTTCATTTAACGAAGGTTGTTTGATCTGTAATTACTAATTAATCAAACTATCAGCAGAAAATGTGACTCATCTCTCTCTCCCTCTCTGACACACAGATCTAAGGTCTCTCGCCCCGCCCTCGTCACCCCATATATGGCAGCTGTTTGTCACTCTGAGTCTGGTTCTGATTGGCCGGCAGAGGTGACCCCCCCCTCCTCTACAGAACGCCACAACCATTGACTCTCCTGTTCCCCCCTTCACCTCCCCATCCAATCCCATCGTCCCCCCCCCAACTACCAAAGATATGAACTACAGAGAGACTTCCTGCCAAGATGGCTGAAACAAAAGGTCAAAAGATCTCATAGAGACGAGATGACTTAAAGGAGCAGTCCACACATTTACACTACACTACATTTGAGCAGAGTCAGCTAGCAGTTCCTCCTTTCTTCCAGTCTTTATGCTAAGCTAATCACATCCTGACTTAAGACATCTGAACATGTCACTCTCAGGAAGACAGACAAACATTTCCTCTATTGTCAGAAATGGAAAATAATATCCATAACTCCGTTTTCATTAGTGTTAAATCAGCTGAATATAAGAATCTACAGAGAGGATTCACTAGCAGGTTTCACACTCTTTTTAAGAAATAGTTTTTCTTGACAATACGAGACAACTGTGTTTCTCAGTTCACAGCAGATATTTCTACTTCCTGAATTGACTCCAATAATTTTGCCAGAGCACAGGCTAAAATACAATACAAAATATTCAGTTATTTAGTTATTTTAAATCTAAAATAGAATTGAACACATTGTTTTTTCCAGAGCTGATGATGGAAGTAGTTTCACTGTTGAGATTCGCATATGCTTAGTACCGATCAGACACTCACAAGAAGAAAACAGGCGCGTCAAGTTTTTGAAAAACTTTCCCTAAAAGGAGCCGACAGCATCTTGCTACATGGCAGCTAAGAGGGTTTTTGTTTTTTGATAACCGCTAATAATTAAAGCAGTTTGTATGAGAGCAAGTAGATTTCTGTCATGTTTTTATACAGGAACCCAGAACGGACAAATCAAACACTGCCTGTAGATAGGACCTTTTCATGGCCACCAAATTTTCTCCTTCATGCACAGAACCAGCTCCTGTAATCCTTTAGACAGGTGGAGGGCAAGAAGGTTTCTATAATCCCGACTGCAGGTTTCTTCTTTACACGATGTTTCAGATGAACGCAGAAAGTCAGCATAACTTTATTAAACGTACAAGGAGTTTTCCCACTAACGGCAGGTACATTTGGCAGAAGTTAATTAGCAGTGAGGCCATAGATGTCTGTAACGCATCGCCCTCAGAAACACTCAGAAGAGAGAGTCAGGAGAGAAAGCGTACGTAGCATTAGTATATAGTGCATCTGTTTGTTTCACCGTCATCCGTTCTCTCCTGTGGAACTTGTTGACCTTTTTGATTCAGCTCTGCGCCACAAAGCACAGAAAATCATGCGCTCCAGTCAGAAAAAGAGGAAATAACAGCTTGAATGTCACCTTTCCTGACCTCCCCTCTATCCCACCATGCCCACTCATAACCCCTTCCAGTCCTCCCCCTCCTCAGATCAACAGTACTGTACCGGGAGCTGGACGGACAACCGGCAGTCTCTCATTTTACAGCGGGCGGACGACAGAGTTAAAAAAAAATACGTTCAGATCTTATTTTGACGTCTGTCTGTCTGCGGCCCACCGGGGAGGAGAGTTCACCCTCTGCCATGTCATCAAGTGCCTTCAGATTCACAGAGGAAGAGACCGCCGGGCTGAGGACCGCTGTCGTCACGGAAACAAAAAGACAAAGCATCGGACATCGTTATGTCTTAATGGCCGAGGAGAAAATAACCGATGAACAGAAACATCTCCGGGTCTGATTATGCAGAAAATCAGTTTCTTACAGATTTCTTGTTTGTTTGTTTTTTTATTTAATGATGACAAGAGGATTCTGGGAAAAAGGAAGCCATGTTGGATGGCATTAAGAGGAGGCAGCAAAGAAGAAGCCATGGACAGGAAATAGACTCTGGATGCAGACAGGAAGCTGTTTGATTTATTTAAAGAACAACACGCAGGAACGGGGACTGGATATTTATCCAATGGGATTCGAGCATTTGGTCTCTCAGAACTATTTTAGTATTTCAAGAGTTTTCAGAAAGACATGGAGACTTTGATGCTACCTGAGACCATTGGTTACCTTAAACTACAAAAACAGCTGGAGCTTTTGGAAAAAGAGGAAGAAAAATGCATTGTAAAATCAAATCTTATATTGTTCCTATGATATTATAAAGATGGGGGGAATCTTTACCACTTTTATTTTGATGGGTTTGATGAGGTTGGGATTTTTATTTCTGGTTTCATTTCTTTTTTTTTTTTTTTTATTTGTAGAAAACTCAAAATCAAAGTTTGAAAGATTAAAGAAAGGTTTTGTTTTTTAATTTCAGGGAGTTGATGGTTTGATACACGTCCTGCTGAAAAACACATTTCTACTAATAATCCACGGTGAGGATTCATTAAAAGAAAAAGCACAAAAAGACAAAAATATATTTATATCTTACACACCTCATGTTTCATATGGAAGCCCATTTCTGCTCTCATAATTATCATAATTCATACTCATATGGTTTACATATAATATAATATAATTTCTTATTAATTGACTTAAAAGTAACAATCATGATTCACTTTCACATAATTTTTAATAATATTTTTGACGCTTTAATTTGGAATTTGTCACATTATTTTAACTTAGTGTCTCATAACTGAAAATCACAATGAGTGTACGTATTAGTCTGGATTCTCAAGGGGGATTTATTTTGTTATTCACATGATCAACTGTATAGGACTGGAGTTAAAACAGATTGTTAATTTAACATTCTTCTTCCACTCAGTAAGAGAGATTAATCTTGTGTCCTTTCAACCTTAATTGTGACTTAAAAATATAGAAGTATGATTTACTAGCTGGTTTTATTTTTGGCAGGTTTCTTTATGCCTTTTATTCCTTTTTCTGGCAGAAATGGTCTTTCGTACATCAGCTTGTATTCATGTTGTCACAGAAAAACCACACGACTGCCATTTTAATCCACGTGGTTTCACAACATCTGTGGAAAAAAAATAAAAATTTTAACTTAAATACATTCAAAGACGCAGTGAAAGAGCAGTTGGAGCAACTTTAGGTTCTTTATGTGACATATGTCAGAGTATTTGGGGGTGGGGTTTCATTTGTAGGATTTAATTGAGTTTGAATTGAGTGAGTGTGGAGAGTGAGTTGGACCTGCGACACATGAGATAAAGAGTGGTTTATTATGATTCACTGTCTTTTTTTTCACAACACAATACTGATAAATCCTGATTTCCATCTCAGCCTTTGATGAGACGTCTTTCAGCAGAAGATCCATTAGATAATTTACACCCTCAGATAAATATAGTTTCTTTTTAATGTTTTGTTGATTTTTTTTCCCCTCCCTGTGGCGACACTTTTCCTCTCTCAGCGTGTTTTTCCACTGCAGCTGATAATCAGATTTTTATTGAAGCTCCTCTGGGTGTCCGTTTATCCTCCCCTGCATCATTATCACATTAACTCTGTTCAGAGGAATCAAACTGCGTATTAGTGATTACAGCGCAGTCACACACACACACCATCCCCACTCAGAAACGTAAATAATGTGTATATACATTTGTGTGGAAGCCAATTACAGCCTCGAAAAGAGAAAATCAAAAATCTAATTTATGACACAAAGTCACAGTTTGTCAAATTAAATCAGAACAATGATATAATCCAGTGTAATCCAGCCTGAGGGTCGGGACCCATATTAGGGCCAAAACTTCACAAAGGATCGCAAGGCCTTTACCGTCAGTAGTCTCAGCCCCGAACAGAGACAAGACTTTGGACAGATACATAAATAAAATGGCAGAAAAGTAAATTATAGCACATGATGTTACATAGAGACGGAGCTCGGACACAGTCGTGGATTTAGACCACCTCGAAGTCTTGGTGCTTCATTACTCTGCTAAGCAAAAGCCGCATTTTGGAAAAATAACTTTATATAATTGATTTAAAATCAATAACAATAAAAGTAAGACCCTCAGACCTGGTCACATGTTGGTATTTTTAAAATCACTCACAGGTCACACAAGTGAGTAAAAAGTTCTTTATTAAATCATCTACATTTCAAATGATCCTTGGATGTGATAAAAGTCGTCATAGCCGGTCAGAGATTCTGTTGTCAATTCTCTGCAGTGGAAAAAACATGTCTTCATTTATTCCCCCGGGGGGTCTGATGTCTGTGTTGTTTATGTTTAGATTTTTCGGGGGAGGGGCAATAAAATAAAAGTTTAAAAAAGCCACTGACGCGACTCTGTGGACGTGTGAAGAAAGATATTTTTATAACTGTGATTATTCTCTGCAATAGATTCTCAGATCAGTTGGACTGACTGAAGGTTACACTGCATTCTGGTTATTATTATTATTATTATTACTATTATTATTATTATATGAATAAATACACTCCAAATGTACCATTTAATGGTTTTCTGTCATGACGTCCTCAGGCATCATTATGTGTGTCAGTGTGAGTGTTTGTGTTTGTATATCTTCTTCTTATTATGACCTTGTGGGGACAGAGACCTGTTCTCATTGTGCCATGTGGGGACTCGTTGATGGCCCTTACAAAGTTAAAATTATACCTTTTGGGTACTGACTTGGTTTTTCCAGCCTCCAATGAACTGTTAAAGAGCAACGCATTGTGCGCAGACTTGGGACTCCTATCGGGTCCCCTCAACCTTAAGCTTTAAATCTGAGGTTATGGACAGTAAACTGAATACCTTTGAGGTTCGGTGTGTAATATTTAGGATCCATTGTCAGGAATGGAATATAATATTTACAGGTATGTTTTCATTAGTGTATAATCACCTGAAAATAGGATCGTTATTACTTTATGTCACAACAAACATGAAGCAACTTTCTGTGTCCTTTTATACGTGTAAATATTCGCCTTTTAATCTGACTCACTGCGGCAGTATGAGCCCAAAACAAACAGATTTAGTTGTAATTTAATTGGAATAATGGGGAGGGGGCACCTTTGTGGCTGTTGGCAGACAGGTTGAGAAGAGTGTCACTAAACATCTCCAGATCAAAGCAGAGTCCAGTGTGACTACGGGTATTTCACCAAAAGCTCCGGCTCTGCTACACACCACAACCTCAAAATTAAATATTTTAAACTCGTACAAATACTTAAATGCAGGCGCTATTAAGAGGCTAGGGGAAGCTTAGCTTCCCCAAAATTGTCACAGAAAAAAAAAATCCCCAAATAAAATC